GACGGGCGGCCGGGCGGGAGGGATAGTAAAGCGGGCGGGGGGGGCTTGCCAGCACGTGAACGGGCGGGACCGGAACGACGACGACGACGACGACGACGAAAGCAATGACGGCGACGACGACGATGACGACGACGACGACGACGATGACCACGACGAGGGCGACGACGAGGGCGACGACGGGGTCGACGACGACGACGACGACGACGACGACGACGACGACGAGGACGACGACGACGACGACGACCCTATCTCTGGCCAGCACTTTGTGGTCAGTCGAAGTACAACTCTGGCGATTAATCACGCAGCAGCCGGCACACACTCACACACTGAGACAGCGCAGGCGCAGGCACAGAAGCTGAAATGCACATCAAAAAAGTTCGTCGAGGCGAGAGTTGGCATTGAGCGGACAGCAAAAAAACTTGACAAAAAGAGACCATGGCGATCGTCAACATCATTGACATTAGTACGGCCCTATCTCTGGCCAGCACTTTTTGGCCATTCGAAATGCAACGCTGGCGATTATCATGCGGGAGCCGGCACACACACACACACACACACTGAGACAGCGCAGGCGCAGGCACAGAGGCTGAAGTCCCACAATCACGCCATTTATGTGCAGGAAGCTGGCTGAGCGACGCAATTCACAATTTCTGAGCGCGGCCACTGCACGGCGATGGACTACATGAATGAGAACATCGCCGATGAATTCAGCTATCACGGGAGGATATGGCTCCGCAACTTTGGAGAGCCGTTTTCCCCCCATCTTCGCGCGGATGCGCACTTGCTGTCGACCTGCGGACGAACAGAGCCCGCCACGACCATGGCAGCGCAGATGCGGGGCGGAGACAGTGCCAATGATGAAAAACGAGCGTGGCCCTTGTGCGCACGGGGCCTCCGGCAGAACAAAAGTCAACATCGACCGCGGAGCCGCGAGCGAGAGCCCGACGACGCGAGGGGAAGCACGCGATGTCTTGAACCCCGGGGGGAGCCGCCCTCTGTGTGGGACGGCGGAGGTGTCTGCCGGCTCCCGGCCAAAGTGCGCTGGGCTGCGCGAACACGCGGCCGCCAAGAGCAGGAGGAACAAGAGGAGGAGGAGGAGGAGGAAGAGGAGGAGGAGGACAGGGGGGAGGAGGATGGAGGGGAATAAGAAGGAGGAGGAGGAGGAGGAGGAGGAGGAGGAGGGTGAGAGGAAAGAGGAGTAGGAGGAGGAGGAGGAGGAGGAGGAGGTGTGCATGGATAATGGGATGGATGGTTCATGCATGATTGGGCCATGCCTTTCTCTGTGCCCCTCGATCCCATCAGCAGAGATTGCATGGGTCACGGGGTGAGAAGAGACCTGAAGATGCTCCCTGAGCCCTCCTTGGGGGCCCCGGGGTTGCAGGCCTCGGCCCCCCCTCCTCCCCCTCGCGCACGGACTCACATTTTGTCCCTGGTTTTTTCTTGATCCGTCTCGTACCGATCCCTGTACAGGCGACAGACTTGTTTGTTTCAGATTTCGGCTCGAGTCCATGGATTGCCTGTGCTATACTTCTCCAGAGACGAAACGGCAGTGCTACGTGCCAAGACCAGCGAGGGGCGAGAGCGGGGGAGAGGACAGGCCGAGGAGAGAGGGGAGAGGACAGGCGGACAACTCCACTGCCTTTTTGTATCGATTGGTTCACGGACTCATGGCTTGACTGCTCGAGGAGGTCCGCCCCACCCCTCCTCCCCCTCGCGCACGGACTCACAATGTTTTCCCTGTTCTCCCTGATCCGCCTCGATTCGATCCTTGCGCGGGCGACAAACTTCACTGCCTCATTCATATCGACTGATTCACGGATTCCTGGCTTGACTGATCGAGGAGGTCCGCCCCCCCCTCCTCCCCTTCGCGCACGGACTCACATTTGTCCCTGTTGTCCCTGATCCGTCTCGATTCGATCCTTGTGCGGGCGACAAACTTCACACTGCCTCATCCATATCGACTGATTCACGGATTCATTGCTTGACGGATCGAGGAGGTCCGCCCCCCCCTCCTCCCCCCCGCGCACGGACTCACATTTTCTTCCCTGTTCTCCTTGATCCGCCTCGATTCGATGCTTGTGCGGGCGACAAACTGCACTGCCTCATCCCTATCGACTGGTTCACGGATTCATGGCTCGACGGATCGAGGAGGTCCGCCCCCCCCCCCCTCTGGCGCGCGGGCGGCCGCCGAGGCCCGCGCGGCTGCGCCGCGTCGTCCCCTGGCCAGGGGCGGCGGCGGCGCGGGGGGCGCGGCGGTGCACGAGGCGAGGACAAGGGGGAGCCCACAACCTCCAAAGCATTGGACAAAAAAAAACTAGACGGGCCGTTTGTGTTCAAGGGCGTCGGCATTGAAAACTAGAGGGAAGAGCCCAAACCTCCAAAGCATTGAAAAAAAACTGGACGGGCCGTTGTTGTTCACAGGCTTCGGCCTCTGGGTGCCCTCGCCAGACCCCGGTCCGTCGAGAACCGCTCGTGATGCAACACTCTGCCTGGGGAAATTGTCTGGACTTCCAGGGGCCGCGCATTGAAAAAAACAAAACATTAGATGTCACAATGTCTGAAGGAACTGGGGGAGAGGAAAGGGAGGGAGCGGGGCTCCTCATTTCCCTACCTCCTGCCCCTCCTCCTCCTCCTCCTCCTCCTCCTCCTCCTCCTCCTCCTCCTCCTCGTCATCCTGGTCCTCCTTCTCCGTCTCCTCCACATCCTGGTCCGCCTTTTCATCCTCCTCCTCCCCATCATCATCATCATCATCATCATCATCATCATCATCATCATCATCATCATCATCATCATCATCATCATCATCATCATCATCATCATCATCATCATCATCATCATCATCATCATCATCATCATCATCATCATCATCCTCATCCTCATCCTCATCCTCATCCTCATCATCATCATCATCATCATTATCATCATCATCATCATCATCATCATCATCGTCATCGTCGTCGTCATCATCATCATCATTCATCATCATCATCATCATCATCAGCAGCAGCAGCATCATCATCATCATCACCATCACCATCACCATCACCATCCTCATCACCATCATCAGCATCAGCATCAGCATCATCATCTCCATCAGCATCCTCATCATCATCCTCATGCTCATCCTCATCCTCATGCTCATCCTCATCCTCATCATCATCCTCATCCTGACTCCTATCGTTTGCATTCTCTCTCCTCTCTCCTCTCTCATCCTCCGTCCCCCTCGTCATCATTAGCCTCCTATGTCTTGCTTGTCTGTTGTCCCGCATGATCCTCGTCATCTTCATGTCTCCTCCTCCGCATCAGCCTCGTTCTCAGAATCACCGTAATTATTTCACCCACCACTACCATCATGTTCAAATTCCACAAGACGTGAATCCTCAATCATCCACGATCAATTAACATCATCAACGATGGCATCATCACCGTCGCCATCACCACTACCAGTCATCAATCACCATCCAGCATCATCATCCAGATCATGCAGCATGGTCGCCACCACCATCGGTAACAGCAACCACAAAAACAAAACCGACCTCAGCATTTATATCTCCACCATCACCAACACTCGTCAATTGCCACTATCATCCTGTCTGCCGTGTTCGCTCGTTGTCGTCGTCGTCATCACCCTCCTCATGTTCACCATCACCATCATAATCAACATCATCATCACCATCAACCACATCTTCATCATAGGCATGGGCATCATCACCATTATCATCCACCACCCTCACCATGATCATCACCATCATCATCACCGCCAGCATAGGCAACACCGTCAACCATCATCATCAACATCATCATCACCATCACGACGGATCCCTAAGAGATCCTTCGGGCTCCTGAGGACTCCTGGCGATTCCTTGGAATCCCCGAGGACTCCACAAAAAAATCCCGAATCCCGAATTGGGGATTATTTCAGATTCCTTCCGGTTTGGCGAAAACCCTCAGGATCCCCTGCGGATTCGAAAAAATCCCTGCGGATGTCTTACAGATCCTGAAAATTCCATTGGGCCTCAGAAAGATTTCTGACGGATTCCTGAGATTCTCTTAGATCCCGGATGGATCCTACGGAACCTTTGGCTTACAATTCAAAAAGATGCAAAACGGGCCCCTACACATTCCTGCCGTTTCGGCCAGGATCCCCCGGAACCCCCGAGATTCCTGCAAGATTCCTCCGGTTCCCACACGATTCCGCAAGACCCTAAGAGGATTCGGGGCGATGCGATTCCCGAGGGTCCATGCGGACTCCTGTCGGCCCCCGAGGGTTCCCAAGGAGGTTCCTACCGGTTCCTGACCGAAGATCCCTGAGGATTGCTCAGGGCCTCCGCGGGAAATTTGTGATTCGGGCATCTTCGGGCCCTCCTAGACTCCTAGAACACCTTCTGGAACCGACTTGGGGGTGGCCAACACAATCTCAAGGCTGTACTGGAGCGCCCTGAGCGAACGTGGATCGCCCATGGAAACCCCGGAGTTCCCGCGCCGTCGGGCAGTGGAACGGTGGAGATTCCGAGTGGCGCGCGCAGGCGACCGCGTGGCCTCCCTCGAGGGGAGCAACCTGGATCTTCACTGCCACGATGACTTCGCCGCCGCTGTTCCGATTTTCCCACCCGTCGGGCCCACGCCCGCCCCCGCCCCCGAGGCCCCTGGAGCCCCGCCTGCGGCCCGAGGCCGCAGGCTCCGGGCAGGGCGGCGAGGGGCCACAGCCCCAGGCCCTCGGCCCTATGTCGGCTATACGCAAGAGTGACCCTGGGTCAGAGTGACCTTTGGTGCGCGGCATTCGGGGGGCGCGGGGGAGCCAAACCCAAGCGCGCAAGCCGCTGACGTCGCAGCGCGTTCGGCGATTGGGGGACCCACTTGGGCCCGCACCGAAGGTCACTCCGGCGAAAGGTCACTCTTACGTCTAGCCGACTATATCCTCGGGGCCTGCCCCCGAGAGGCCCCTGAAAACTGCACCGATCCCTGCGCCTCGGCCCCTGCGGACGCCGAGCCCGAAGCCCCGCGCCCGGAGCCCTCGACCTCGCCCTTCGGCCGTAAGACTCCACACGCCAGGCTGTCCGCCCCGCGCGCTGGGCCCCGGGCCCACGTCTGAAACGGCGAGCCTCGGATCCGCAGCCACCTGGCCGACGGCCTTGGGCAAGGCGCCCGAAGCCCTGGGGGCCAGGGATCAAGGCCGAGGGCCGACTAATGTCTGAAGCCAGGGCGGGGGCCTCGCGACGCAGGACGCGACCCGCGGGGCTGGACGGCAAGGGTCTCGGGTCTCAGATCTCGACCGACTGAGGGAGGGTGCGAGACCCGAGCCCGAGAGCGCGGAGAGCTGGGCCCATGGCCCCAAGCCCAAGGGGCCCAGGGCTCAGGCAGAAAAACACGGAAAGACGGCGCTGAACCTTTCGCCCTGGCCCCAGCCATAACCCCAAGTCCTAGCTCTAGCCCCAGGGTTCCAGCCCTGGGCCCAAGGGCCCCAGCCCTAGCCCCTAGCCGGGCCATAGCCCTAGCCCCAGCCCGGGCCCTAACTAGCCCCGGGGCCCGGGCGCCCTGGCTCCCAGGACGCCCTGACTGGGTCGCAGCCTTACTTAGCCCCAGGGCCCTTGCCCTGCCCTAGCCCCTCTGGCCCTAGCCCTAGCCCCAGCCCGAACCCCACCAAGCCCGCGCCCTAGCCCTTCCCCCAGGGCCCCTGGGGCCCGAGCCCTCGGGGTGCCCTGACCGAGTCCTTGCCCCAACACTGACCAGCCCAGGCCCTGGCCCCAGCCCCGGGCCCCAAGGCGCCATGACCGAGGCCCTGGCCCCAGGGCCCTGGCGCGCCCTGGCAATAGCCCTACTCCTCGCCGAAGCCCCAGCCCTGGCCTTAGCCCCAGGGCACAGGCGCGCCCCAGCCCTAGCCCTACAGCCAAAAACTTCAAATAAAGTTCGAACCAAAAGTTCCCAATTTGAAAAATACATCAATAATACTACAATGCATGGAAATCGTGGTACATCCAAAAAATCATACCAAAATCGAATAAAGCTCAAAAATCCATCTTAAAAATATACCAAAAAGTTGGAGCTCAAAAAACAACATAGATCAAAAACAAATCGCCCATTCCGCGCGCCCCGGGGCCCTAAGCAGTCGCGGGCGCCGCGGTTCAAAAACACCGGTTCTGGGAGCCCCCAGGCTCTGGGCGGTCGCGGGCGCCGCGGTCCCGGGGACCCAGCGCGGCGCGCCTCCCCCCGCCGCCCGACCCCTGCGCCCAGCGCCCAGGGCCCCGCGGCCCAGGGACTGCTGCGCCTGGGGAACTGCTTCGCCGCTACGAACGCAGCAATAGGGGGCCCGATAAGCCCTCCCAGGCCCCTCGAGAGACCCACTCGGAACCTTACCGACTCCCTCTTGGGGCCACCCGAATGCCCTCTCGGGCCCTAGGAACGCTCCAAGAGGGCAAATCGTTCGGCTGCTGTTTCACGTGGAAATTCACAATCTCGAATCGCAAATCCCCCCCACACTCCGCCGCCACGAGCGCGGCCTGGGGGGGCCCTCGCCCCGCCGTTGCGAGCGCGGCCGTGGGAGGCCCAATCAATCCTCCTGGGCTTCTCTCTCGGGGGCCCTCCCGGAGCCCTCCCGGGCCGCCCGCAGGCCCCGCCCCAATGGCGAAATCGAGGCCCCAAGGGGGCCCCACGGGGGCATGTCTCGGTTTGCTTTTGCAGAACGCCGCACAACATCGAAAAGCAAGCCCATCCCACACTGCGCCGTTGCGAGCGCGGCTCAACATCGGGCATCGCCCGGACGACTCGACCCATGGGGGCCCATCCGGGGGGGGAACTTCTGGGGCGCGCCCAGGGGCGCAGGGGGTCCATCTTCCGCGGGCGACAGAGAAATCCCCGGCGAAGGGTTCGAGCACGGGGGTCCACATTCACGAGGAAGAACTCCCCGCTGGGGTGGCGCCCGCGCGCGCCCCCCCCTGGGGAAACCAGAAGAGGAAACGCGCGACAGCCCAGATTGCGAATGTAGCGCAGCAGCAGTCCAATGGAATTTGCAATACGGACTTGCACGGCAGTTGCACAAGGGCGCTGCACTGGGGGCTGGGGAACTGCACGAAGGACTTACCCTAGGGCGTTGCACTGGAACCAAAGACTTGCACTAGAGAGTCCTATCGGGGAGTTGCTCTTTGGGGCAACAAAAGAACACATATGAACTCGGGAATCCATTCGATCATCGCTGAGAGGTTGTTTTAGTTCCCCAGCCATCATGGCGACTTTTCACCACTAAACATTACAGACAGCTGCATTCGCGCGCGGGTGACCACGGTCACACCCACGCGTCCGCGCGCGGGGGGCTCCCCGTGGTTTCCATAATGAAGAACATACGCCGACACAGTGTAAAATTGGAACTCCCAATGGTCACCGCTAAGTGTTCACTTGAGTTTCCAGGCCAACGTGGCAAAATCTCTGTTCCAAAGAATCGAAAAAGCTGCGCGCGCGTCGGCGGGTGACCATGGCCACCTGCGCGCACCAGCGTGCCAGGGTTTCGCTGTGGCTTCTGGAATACCGAACATGCAACAAAATGCATGCTAGCTTGGAAATCCCATCTGTCACCGCCAAGTGCCCACTTGAGCTAGCAGGTCAGCATGGCAACGCTCCACGCGCGCACGCGCGCAAGTGACCATGGCCACCCGCACGCGTCCGAGCGCCGAAGGCGCTCGGTGGCATCCTGGAAAACCAACCGGCCACCGCTCAGCGTTCACTTCAGTTTCCAGGCCAGCATGGCGATTTCTCGAATCCAAACAATAGAGAACGCTGCGCGCGCACTCCTGCGGGTGGCTCTCTACGGCCTCCAGATTGCAAAACGCGCGACCAGATCCACGCAAACTTGGAAAATCTAATTTCCCGACCAGCATAACGATTTTTCTATTCCAAACAATAGCTCTACGCGCGCACGCGCGCGGGTAGCCACGGCCCCCCACGCGCGCCCGCGCGCGGGAGGGGGGCCCTGCGGTCTTGAGAGCGGAATCCAATCGGTAAATGGTAAGTGTTGAAGTCCCAGGTCAGCATGATGACCTTCAATTTCAAACATGAGAACGAAGTTCCCCGCGCGCGCGTCCGCGCGCGGAAGGCTCTCCGTGGCTTCTGAAGTGAAGAGCATACGACAAAATGTATGTTTCCTTGGAAATCCACTCTGCCACCGCTGTGTTTACTTGGCTGTCCAGCCCAGCATGGCGACTTCTCAAAGATTCCAAACAATCGAAGATAGCTCAACGCGCGCACGCGCGCAGGTGATGGTCACGCGGGCGCGTCCGCGCGCGGGGGGCTCTCTGTGGTTTCCACGGTAGAGAACATACAACAAAGCCCATGTCAACTTGAAAACACCGAATCTGTCACCGCTGAGCGCCCACTTCGGTTTCCAGCCGAACATGGCGGCTTGTCTACTTCAAACAAAAGAGAACGCCGCACACGCGCGGGCAACTGTGGCCACCCGCGCGAGTCCACGCGCGGGGGGATACATGCGGTCTTCATAATGGAGAGCATGTAATAAATCCACTGTGGCCGTGGAAATCCAGTCGGTCAACAGCATGTGCCCACTTAATTTGCCAGGCCAGCATGGTGACTGTTCTAACCAAAACATCAGAGACAGCCGCGCGCGCGGGCGGGTGGCCGTGGTCACCCGCGCGCGCCGGTTTGCGAAATGCGAAATGCTTGAACACTGAACGCAGCGCACTATTCATTACAATGCGGCACAAGTTGTAAACTCATAGCAGCTGCGCGCGATCACATGATAGTACCAGCTGCACCCAAGAACTATTTGTACTGTTGTAATGTGGATCTCGAAGCAAAGGGTTCAAACTTATGGTTTTGTTCAAGTTTCAAGAAGAGTTCGCCTTTAGCTCGCCGAGGAAACCCGGATGAAGTTCCAAAAAACAAGTTCATCTGAGCCGAAATCGGAACTCCCCGCCGACTCCCCCTCACGGCGCCTGTTCCCCGGGGCCCCCGAGGTGCGCCACAAGGGCCCGCGCTTGCACTGCGGTGGAAAAGCTGGCCGGCTCGGCGACAAAGTCGCGTTCGGTTTCGCCGCCCCCTTCTGCGGCCAGCCAGAGCGGGCGCGAGCCCAAGAGGCGGTGTACACGCCCTCCTGGCTAGGCCAGGGGGGCCAACACACCGCTCCTGGGCCTAGAAGGGGCCAGGCCCTGGGCTGGCGGATGTGTATAGGTCTCGTTACCCTAAAGGGCGGACACGTACCGTCACGTTGATTCGGCCTTCGAATTTCTCCCCCAACATCAATTGTTGTATAATTGAAACGGTCCTGGTTGCTGAATTCAAAAAATTGGTTTCATTCAACAAGCGTTGTATGCTTGAAATCATCAAACGTTGTATGCTTGAAATGATCCACCAATTTGCATGCACCACGGAATACCTCGCGGAGTGCTCCCCCAGAGCATCAAGAAACATGGCAAGTGATGCCTGGCAGATAGCAACGTGCCCAGAGGCGCCTAAACAAGTTCGACAACAAATAGGACTGAAGTTTACTCGGCCTTCGAGCAGTTGGAGAAGGCCAGCAAGCGGCCGCCACGCTCAGGCCAGGCTGGCCCACAGGCCGCGGGGGCGCCCGAGGCTGCACGACTGCGACTCTTGGGGCGCTCCCGCGGCGACCGCCGCCGTCGGCGCTCCCGCGAGCTGCGGCGGCCGGCGTCATGATTGGCCACGTCGCCGGCGCTCCTGCTGCCGCTAGGCAGCAGCAGCGCCCGAGGCCGCGCGACCGCGACTCTTGAACGCTCCCGCGGCCGCGGCGGCCGCCATCGTCGTCGCTCCGCTAACTGCGGCGGCCGCCGTCATATTCGGCGTCGTCGCCGGCGCTTCTGGCCGCGGTGGCCGTCGTCATCGTCGCGATTGTGGCGTCATCGTGGCGCCATCGTCGCCGCGACGGCCGTCGTCATCGTCGTCGTCGCGTCATCGCCGACGTCGTCGTCGTCGGCGGCCGCCGTCGCTGGGCGCCTCCCACTTCGATGCCGAGCTCGGCGAGCACCTGGTCGAGGTCCTGCGAAGGCCCACCGGGGTCCCCCAACAGGGGAAGGGGTTCCACGTCTCGGGAGGGTCGGGGGGGAAGGAAGGACGTGGGGAGGAGAACGAGGACGCAGGGGAGGGGAGAGGAGCAGGGAGCAGGAGAATGGATGAGGGAAGAAGAAGGAGGGGGGCGAGGGCACGGGTCCTGAATATTGTGAGGAATTGCCAAGCGAAACGACAAATCCGCCGACCCCCGCTTGCCGGGGGTCGAAGGCGTGTGAGACATTTGGCTGTCCCCCTCCCCCTTTCCCCCTCCCCCAAGGTCCAAAATCCGATTAGAGAAGGGGGGGAGGCGGGTGGGGGGCGGGGGGGGAGAGACGAGCTCTCCAACCATCCCGGGGGGCTCTCCGAAGCCCCCAAATAGCCCCAAGGCAGCCCAACAGGACCCAGACAGAGCGCCAAGTCAGACGAAGAGAGCGTCATGCCAGCCTAGGGTAGCCCCACGACGATCCAAGATGGCTTCAATATGGCCCACGAAGCCCCCAAGACAGCCCAAAAGCGCCTCCAGAGGATAGCCGCGAGGGCCCACGAGGGCCATGTTACGTTTTGACAGCGAACACGACGGCCCAAGTGGACCCCAAGATCTTCCTAAGATGATCCATGATGCCTCCAAGGAAGGCCCCAAGACGGCCCAAGAGGGCCCAAAGAAAGCCCCGGGGGCCCCCGAAGACGGTCCAAGGCAGCCCCCGGAGGGCCCCAAGAGGGCTCCAAGAAAGCCTCAGAGGCGGAATACGAACTGAGATTTTGAGCCTTTCCCACCGAGATGGCCCCTCGAGCCCCCCAGAGGCCCCCGAGGACCCTCCAAGAGGCCCCAAAAGGCCTCCAAGACGCCTCCAAGAAGCCCCCAAGAGGCCCCCCCGAGGCCCCCCAAAAAAAGCCTCCCCCATGCCCCGAAGATATTCCAAGAGGCCCCAGAGAGGCATCCCAAGAGACCCTCAGATTCATCCAGGAGGCTCCTGACCCCCAAGATATGATAACCTCCACGGTCGTCTGAAACGCTCATTCCTTGTCGGGGTCGGCGCAATGGCGTGAGCCCCTTGAAAACTGTGAAGAGTTGTCCAGCGAAGCGGCTGCCAGACCAGAACGATCACCCTCTCCCCGTCCCCCTTTCGGGACTCTCCTGTGGCTCGAAATTCTGAGGACGTCTGCAGCGAAACGGCCGGCGGACTGGGGCGAGCACCCTCCTTACCAGCCTGGAACATATCCCTATCCCTACGTTGGGCATCGCCTCATCACGATGGCGATCTTAGGGATTTCCTCAGTTTCTGAGGGTGCATCCCTAAGATTGTCATCTCCTCTTAGCGTGTCAATCTTAGGGATAGGGATAAGCTCGAGGCTGGTGACCTCCCCCCGTCCTCCTGTGGGCCTCCTCTACGATCCAAACAAAAAAAAAATTAGGAAGCCTCCGGCGAAACGGCTGCCGGGCTGGGGCGGGCACCCTCTCCTCGTCCCCCGGTGGGACTCTTCGGTGGTCCTTGTCAACCTCCATGGGAGCCTCGACGAAACGCCATCAGGGATATAAACCTCTGCGGGCGAACCTCCTTGGAACCCGGCGGGGGCCGTGTTTTGGGCCCAGTTTGGCGGCTTCTGGAATTGGCAGGGGCTCCACGGGGTTGTCTCTTGCCTTCGGATCAAAAAAACGTCCGAAGATATCAGAACAGCCTGTTTTCTTTCCCTGTTCCCCGTGGTTTTCGTCGCGCGCCCGTCTCCTTCGCCTCACTTATAACCAGCCTCGAACGTATCCCTATCCCTAAGGTGGGCGAGCAAAAAGCCAGGACAATCTCAGGGACAGGCCCTCAGAAACGGAGGGTATCCTCAGGATCGGCATCGAGGTAAGATGATACCAAGCATAGGGGTAGGGATTTGCTTCGAACTGGTAGATTTACCCCCGCCCCCCGTTCGTCTACTGCCTGCCTTCTCCTCCGTCCTCCTGGACCTCCAGCCCTGTTGATCAGGGACCACCGCCCTGCCAACCACAGGGCTGTCCTCGGGCGCTCCGGGGCTTTCCTCAAGGGCTCCCAACTTCGCGCTTCGCGCTGCGCGAAGCGCGAAGTGCGAATAACTTCGCGCTCTCGCGCCACCCCCCCAAAGGGAGAAAAGGAGGACAAGGAGGAGGAGGAGAAGGAACGAGGACCGCGAAGCGCGAAGCGCGAATAACTTCGCACCCTCGTGGGAGCCCTTGTTTCCTGAGGCCATCTTCGTTACCGTCCGGGCCCACGTGGGGGGCCCACGTGGCGTCTCCGACCCCCCCGTCGGGGTGAGCTGGCAACGATGGGGACTCCCGACGTGGGCCCCCCATAGTAGTAGTCGTACTACTACTACGACTTCTACTAATACTACTCTACTACTACTCCCGACGACGTCGGGGTGAGTTGGCAACGTCGCCCCACGACCCCGTCGTGGGGCGAGCGGGGGCGTTTGCGACCCGCCTCGGCGGCACCGTGCGCGCTGCGGGGGCCAAGCAGGGGACCCCATCACATGGCGGCCCAGAGGCGTGCTGGACGTATCGGGGCGTCTCTTGGGGAGTCTCTCGGAAGCCAGCCCGGGGCCTTCGAAGATGAAGGGGCCCCAGGACACACAAATAAATACACACAAATAAAAAGATTCCCCACACTTTCCCATATGTTCTGGGTTTTTGTCTTCCCCCCCACTTCCCATATATTCCTATATTTTCTGGGGAATCGACGATGAATTGTGTCTCTGTGTGTTTTTGTCCCTCCTGAGAAGAGGCGTCCAGAAGGCTCTGGATGCCTCTCGGGGAGCTGTCGAGGGCCCGCCGTGGGCCTCCCGGGGGGCGCCTTGGGGCGTCCTGGAGCTGTCTCTTTCGGAGCAGCGTGGAGGAGGAGGGGGAGGAGGAGGAGGAGGAGGAGGAGGAGGAGGAGGAGGAGGAGGAGGAGGAGGAGGAGACCGAGGAGGAGGAGGAGGAGGAGAAGGAGGAGGAGGAGGAGGGGGAGGAGCCCGGCGAGGAGGCCTCGGGCCTCGAGGAGCTGGCCACCGCTCGGGCGTCCATTCCCTGTGCTTTTTGCGGTGTCGTGCGTGCTTTTTCCGCCGAGTGATCAAGGATTCTCCTCAAGGGGGGTCCTCGCCGCGAAAAAAACAACAACATAAAAAAAACAACAACAACAACAACAACAACAAAAAAAAAAAAAAACGTCCGAGCGATGCCAGGGATGTGAGATCGACGCTTCTCTCTCACGGCCTTTTGGAACCGCCTCGGGGCCGGCTTGGGAGCCGTCTTGGGAGCCTCATGGGTCGGCGTGAGGTGATCTCGGAGGCCTCCTGCGTGGCCAACGGCGGCGTTCCGTGCGCGAGGGCGATGAGCACGCGCGCCGCAGCGGGGAATGGGGCGAATTTTGCCTCGCGAGGGCTTGGCCAGTTCAGCATCCTGCGCTTGGAAGGGCCCCGAGGGCCTTGGCCTTCCTGCGGTCGTCGTCGGGCGTTTTTGGGATGTGTCTGGGGCCGCCTCGGGCCTTCGTGGCTTTTGGCCGCCTGCTGGACCATTGCGGGCTCGGCGGCTACATGCGGCAGGGACCTCCCAAAGGGCGCCGCTTGGGCCAGGAATCCGGGGGGTCCGTTTCAGGGACGCGGCACGGGGGGGGATCCAAAGAACGGGAAAATACTTGAGAACCACCTCCTGCTCCTCATCCTCCTTCTCCTCCTCCTCCTCCTCCTCCTCCTCCTCCTCCTCCTCCTCCTCTTCCTCCTCCTCCTCCTCCTACTCCTACTCCTACCCTTATTCCTTATTAGAATATACTCCTACTCCCCCCTCAGGCCGGCAGATAGGGGCCCCATCCGGGTGGTCCCATCCTAACCTGCAAAAAACAATACAAAATCAACATTTTTCTTATTTATTCCTCTCGACATTGACCTCCTGTCGTCCACGGCGATAATCCATTGCAAAAAATACCACAAAGAGCACACGCGCGCGTTCATGTCAGAATCCTACCGGACACCGTGTGTTTGCAAGCATTTCAACATAAAAACAACAAAAACCCAATGCTTTTTTTACAAAAAAAAAAAAAAGACTACACATTTCCTGCCCGGGCTCTCTTGCTGAAATCATAGGAAAACCATAGGAATCTTAAGAATTCGGTCAAATCCAGCGATTTCACGTCATCGCGCGGTGCACTCGCGATGCTCTGTCATGCACCCAGGCCGCGAATCCTGTACAAAAAATACCACGCGGGCGACATGCGCGCGCGTCGCCGCGAGCGCATGCTCAAATCCTTCTAGAGTCGTCGCCGTCATTGGCACCGTCGCATGGACGTCCTGTCGTCCACGTCGCAAAATGCATGGCAGGAATGGGACCCGGCTTACCGGGCCGTTCTCGACACGGCCACCTCTGGCTTCCTGCGGTGTACCGGGCCATTCTCGACTCGTCTGGCAATGCGTGCGCGGCATTCAACACGCGCTCGCCAGTTCCCGTCGGCAACCGCCATCGCGGCCGCATCAGCTGTACCAAACCGGCTGGCCGGTGTGACTTCGGCCCCCAGTTGTGCCAGCTTTGCTTCTTATGTTGTGGGAGGGCGGGTGGGACTGGGCATGCCATGCTTGACTCGCTCGAGCTGGCTAGCTTGACTCCTACTCATACTCCTCCTCCTACTCCTCCGATGGCTTACGGCGACAATCACGTTCCCAGAAAACTCTGGGGAAACATGATGGTTGCGGCCGTGAAACGTCCTTTCCTCGGACTGGCGGCGACAGTGACGTTCGCAGAAGGCTTTCCGGGAACATGGTGGTTGGGCCGTGTTGGGACCCTCATAGAGGCCTCTGTAAGGCCCTGCGGGGTGTCGAGGCTCATTTGGGGGGCCGTCTTGAGGTTTCTTGGCCGCCTGTTGAGCCCTTGCAGCGCGTCGAAGCTCATTAGGGGGGGCCGTTGTGGGGCATCTTGGGCCAAATTGGCCGTCTCTTGGGCCGCCTTGTCGCCAGGGGGTGAAGGCGTACACTAGGTTCCCGTGCACCACACACACACAC